TTGGTTTTTAAAGTTGGTCTTAAAATTCACAGAATGAGAAATTTATTCCAAAAAATGGTTAAAAGAAACAATCCCTTTTAAAATTATAGACCCTTTTCAAATGTTTTTCATGAGTCTAATCTCCTAAAGTAGCTTAATAACCAATGGTAATGGTGTGGAGGGTCTGTCTTATGGTATCATTCGAGACGCTCCTAAAAGAGCCTGTAATCCCAAAAGTTACCTCTATCTCTCTGAAATAACAGGCCATGATGGTGCTAAGAGATCTGGGCTTTATGTGTAAAATACTTAATTATACGTAATATACAATATTGCCATAAATGGGGGCTAAATTTATTTGAAGTAGTGTATATTTACATATTACTGAAGTTCATGTGTAGGTGACAGAAACCACATTTATATTTGTGTCATTCTTGCTGCTTCAATTTGAACTGAAGTGAATTAACTAGCTTTTTACAATTTTACAACGCACTTTTATGTACCTCAACTATTTAACCTTCAAAGCAATCTTGTGAGGAAAGTAATATTGTTTATTGATTGAGAACATGGGGCCTCCCTGAAGATGGTGGCTCTGCTACTCATGAGACTTTGGCTTTGGGCACGCCACTCACTTTGTCTGAGCCTCGTTAGTGATAAAATTAAGAGACTGATACCTTTCATTCAGGATGAAGTAAGTAAATAAAGTGAATAGTTTGTGTAATGTGCTTGGCACAGTCCCTGGTCTATATTACACTCACAGCATTCACTAGTTAGTATTTATAAGTGGGAAAAATAGAACATGCCTAGGAGGAGACTGCAGACTGAACCTGAACCAGACCCAGGTCTTCTGGGCCCTGGTATAATGAAAATTGTCACCTTAAAGGTACTGTATCATTGTGCATAGCATTTAAAATTTGATCTAAATTAAAAATCATATAGAATGTTGAGAATATCACTAGGCACTAGTTGATACGTGTTAGTGTATAACAAAGATCAACGTCTTCTTGCCCCCAGAATTTTTTTAATCTTTGAGAGAGACAGGAAAGAGATTGATAATATACCTCTACCAACCCTACTGTAATCCTGAAAGTCTTGTGGCTGTGTAGGTGATGCTGCAATAATAATTAACTCACTTCCTAATCACAACTGTTAAAAATAAGACCCAAAGTGTAGGGTGGCTTTGTTTTTAAGGTGATGGCGTGAGGGGAAAAAGGAGAAAAGACAGCTGCATTGGTCTTTCTTATTGACTAGCCTCTTCTTGCAGGGGCCAAGATAAGAAAGGAGTCCTGAGCACTCATTTGGAGGGATGTAGGGCAGAGGTGGCAAGGAAAGTTGAGAGATGGGCACACTCTCCTGGGAGAGCAGTTAAGGCTCTGCGTCTAGTGGCTTTGATTTTTGGATTTTTTTTGGGGGGTGGGGTGGATCTTGAAGTTGAAATTTATCATACCCGAGAGTAACTGGCTTGTAGGAAAAGTATTTTGGCTTAATGAAGACCAGGTAGTTTGACAGTTCTCCTGAGAGTTTTCTAGTGACTCAACTGATCATGAAGATCTAAAGCTACAATTTGGTTTTGTAAGCAGATACGGTGTATCTTAATGCATGATAAGTATTGCATTAACCTGATGATTTGGGGTTCATTTTTCAGGCCATCCTTTGTTACCAGATTTCTTCTTAGATGAACTCCCTGATGAAGTTACCAAGAAAATGGAATCGCATGGTAAGATTTAGCCCATAATTTTTGTAGGAAAATAAAGATACTGGTTTATGTATTTCTTCCAAAATAAAGAATTGATCCTGTAACAGTGGCATTTCTGCTGCTGCTTTTAAATCATTTTTAAATTTAAGCTAGACAAGTAACCTGAGTTCTTAGTTCTGGTAAATGAAGGTTGTCTTTTCCTTTTACTTGTATTAAGGTTGTTTTTATTATTTTATTTTTCAAAACCATTTTATTGGGAGTAAATACATATATCATTTCCATAATTCAATCACATCAAGCAGTGATATACAATTGCTACCACTGATTTTATATTCTTAATATAAACTTTGCATTTGATTAAAGAGAAAAGTCTGAAAATCATGTTTTACTTATTTACTGTCTTTAGGTATTTCTGATTGATATGTTATTTTGTGGGGAAACCAGTCACATCGGAGTACAACTAGGACTATTATAGAAGCAATATTTTATAGGAGCAACAACTTCTAGGGAGATTTTGTTTTTACTTAGTCTTGTTTTTATAACTCACAAAAAAAATGATCCCCTGTGAATTGGTCCAGAGTTTACATTTAGTCTGTGCTCTGGTTTTATGCTACTGGAACAATGAAAGATGCCAGAAGCAATAATTTTTAGCAAGTCTTCAGGGAGTAATTTTCTCATATCTTACCAGCCATATTGCCTGTGCTGCTTCTGGGCCTGTGCCTTCTTTTGATCTTATAGACATTATGTGAATCGCCCTGTGAGATCAGAGGTTGTTTAGAAGGTTGCTGTAAAGTGTGGGCACAAATTTCCTTTATACCTTGAGCAAATCCATTGAGTCTTTCTGTAATATTTTAGTGCCAAACCTTAATCCAGGCTTAATCTGACCTTTTCTATCTTTACTTTGTCCAATTTTTAAAAATGATTTCTAAATGATTACATAATATAAAGGAAACATTCTTTTGTACTGTAGAAAAATAGAAAAGAAAAATATTACACTTAGAGTTCTTTCACCTAAAGAGAAGCTCTTTTAGAAATTAGATCTTGGATTTGTTTGCCATATGACTGCATCAGATTATGAAAACTTTTAGAAAAGACAAGACTGGCAGTCTTTCCCCAAAGGGTCCTTACAGAATCTCAGAAACTACCTAGAGTGTTCATCAAAGTCTAGAAGGTTCTGGTCATTAAGTTACGTAAAGCTCAAATCCTGATTTTTGCCAACACCCTCCAATTGCACTTACTTTTTAGAGCAGTGGTTCTCAACCTTCCTAATGCCGTGACCCTTTCATACCGTTCCTCATGTTATGGTGACCCCCAACCATAACATTATTTTCATTGCTACTTCATAACTGTCATTTTGCTGCTGTTATGAATCAGATGACCCCTGTGAAAGGGTCATTTGACCTCCAAAGGGGTCACGAGCCCCAGGTTGAGAACTGCTGTTATAGAGGATTGGATAGATGAGCCTAGCTCTTTTCAATTAAACATTAAGTAACAACCACTTGTTTATCACATATATTAATTATATATTGGGTACCCACTCTGTGCCAGCGTGTTAAGTACTTTGCATGCACTTTAAAAAAAATTTAATTAAAAAGAATCTTTTTATTAGGGGCTCATATAACTCTTATTACAATCCATACATACATCATTTGTGTAAATCACATTTGTACATTCATTGCCCTGATCATTCGCAGAACATTTGCTCTCCACTTAAGCCCCTGGCATCAAGTCCTCATTTTTTTCCCTCCCTCCCCACTACCCCCTGCATGTACTCTTTCATTGAATCTTGATGATCCTACAAAACAAATAATCATATTACAATTGACATCACATAGTTGGCAGGCAGGTAGCAGAGACAGGATTTGAACTTCTGTTTCTCTTAATTTCAAAATCCATGTCTTTAATTAGTAATTCTAGTAAAACACTGCTTTCCTAACGCCTAAGGACATAAAGTCCTTTAAATTAGTATATTCTTACGATTAGTAATCCAGCTTATTAGTTTATAATGAGTCCCCATCTCATGGACTAGACTCCACGACTGGCACTTGGTAACCATCAACATCCTCTCCATTAGGTATAGTTACATAGGAAACCCTGTCAGACTCAGAAGATTGACGATCATGAAATCAGAATGAGAGAGTTAGATAGTGTGATGTAGGTAAGCCATGTGCTTACTGGCATCAGGCTCTGGTAGGATTCATTCTGCCTGTAGGAGCATAATACGCCAAGTATATTGAATATAGCTGCCGTGTCTATGTCCAAAGGTGCCAGTACCCTTCGGTCAGAATATTCTAAATGACTTTGACCAAAGCTGCTCTTCCCTCACCAGGAGAAAGAAGATTTCCTTCATAGTTTAAGTTTTTCTTATCCTTCCTGACTGAGCCAAGAGCACTTGTATCTGGTACTGTATGCAGCTATATTAATATATTCATATAGGTACTAGTCCAGTTTGTCTGGACTCGGAGCCAACCTGTCTCTTCCAGGGGATTTTTTCATGTCCACATCCAGATCCATGTTCTCAGAGAACGATACGTGTCTTTCATTTCCAAATGGCTCACCTTTCTCTGCACCTACTATTTATGCTAACCCATTTGATTGTGCTTTCTCTGGTATTTATCTTATTTATGTAATTATAATAATGCATTATATAACAACATAATTTTTAGTCAATAGATTTTCTCATTATAAAAATACAATTTGTTTATCATAATTTTTATTAGAAAAATAAAAAGGAAAACATCCTCAAATCCCACTACTAAAAAAGATAAAGCATTACTCCCCCCCCCACTTTTAATTGTGAGGTGTTATAAGTTTACATGCATTTGTAAAAAATGATTCAGAGAGATCCTCCTGTATACCCTTCACCCAGTGTTCCCTGGCAGTAACAACTTGCATAATCATAGTCCAACATGGTGTTGTTGGGTTAGGTGCCATTCGGTGGGTTCAGACCCACAGAAGGAAACGCTGCCTGGTCCTGCGCCACCCTCACCACTGTTCCTGTGCCTGAGCCCGTTGCTGCGGCCACGGTGCCAGCATTGTAGCCACACCATTCACATTTTCATATGTTTATTGCCAGGTAGCATCTTTTGCAAACTTTAAGACGTACTTGAAAATCTCTTTATGTACTACTATTAATCGTGGTTGGCAAGAGTATAAGGATGAATTAAGGCTTAAGGCGTGGTGGCTGGGTCCATTGTTAATCTCTAAAATGAAGATGTCAGAATCTCAGGTTTCTCAGTAAACTCTCCAGTGCTGATCTGAAATTAATTAGCAAAGTAAGTGCCCATTATATTGCTCTAACCTTTGGAAACCCCGGGGTGCAGTCCGTGAACGTTGAACTGCTACCCACAAAATTAGACGTGAGTCCACCAGCCTCTCCGAGGGAGAAAGATGAGGCTGTTGGTGCCTGTAAAGATTTGCAGCTCGGAAACCCCAGGAGCCGTCTGTTCTGTACTCTAGGGCTGCTTGGGGAAGCACGGTGATGCTGTGGCCCTGTCTGGAATGCCCTTGTAGCCTCGGCACAGAAGATCACCTCTCCGCTGTCTCAGGGTGTTACCACACTTCTCAACTCTGGGGGAGAGAGTCTGTCTTAAGGAATGCACTTCTGGGTGCTGGGAAATGAGGGGGGGTGGGGGGAGACTAGCTGAGGGAAAGCAGTGCTGAGTCAAGGTTCACTGCTCTGGATTTTAGAGTTGCCCTTCAGGGGCCATAGAGACAGCGCTGACTCAGTGCCCTGATGTGTGACGGAACGAAACATTGCCCTGTCCTGCACCATCCTCCCACTTGGGGCTGTGTTTGAGCCAGTCCATCTCGTTAAAGGTCTTCTTTTTTCACGGACACTGCGTTACAAAGGATGATGTGCTTCTCCAAGGCTGGGCCTCTGCTGAAAGCTCGTCCTAAGTGAAGTACGACGGGGCCTCAGCGGGCCTGCTTCCTTCCGAGGAGCTTTCTGAGTGTGCATCTTCTGGCAGCTGTGGCTCATGCACCATGCCTTGCCAGTGCCGCAATCCAAATGCGCCGGTTCTTCCTCGGTCTTCTTGTTCAGAGAATTGCCTGCACAGTATCGTTCCCTGGGATTCCTGTGTCCAGACTGATGAATTCATTAGGAGACCACAGATACTCATTTGGGGGATTTTAATTCTGATTCCCAGGTTAGTTGGCTATCAGATTCTTTCAAGCCAACTTTGAGGAAGAGTATGTTGGAGTGATATGGAAGACTCTGTATGTGCATACAGGGAGGCTTCCAAAAGTTCATGGAAAAGTGTAAGGAGAATGGACGCTGAAGGGGGCCCCTCACGTGTGCATGGTGTGCACACTCACACTTGAGAGAGGGAAATTAGGAAAACAAGTTTGTGTCTGCCTGTCTTGGCAGTCTTTTTTATGCCACAATATTCCAAGTAACTTTTTTGCCAGATGTGCATAGCTCTCATTTCTTCATTGATTTTACCCCGCACCCCTCCCTGGAACCTAGAAAGCCCACTCAGTCTTTTTTTTTTTTTTTT